CGGGCTCCCGCGGCCTCTGTCCCCCAGACAGGGCTGAGGAGCTCCGCTCCCCGCGCGTGGCTCCCTGATTCCCGCTCGCTTCTCTCCCTGCCCGTGTGGCAGGGGCCCTCCTCTCCTTGATAGCGGGCGTCATTTCGCTATTGAGGCCCTCTTTTCTTCTGCAGTGGCCCCTCCTGCCCCCCTCTTCATTTCCCAGCCCCGTAGAGCCGTGCTTCTCAACCATTGTCGGACCAGGGCCCATCTGTAAACATCGATGCCAGTCCTGACCCCGTGCCCCTCGCTCCCCACCCGCTGCTCAGACCCAGTGCATGGGGCACGGGGACCCCAAGCAGCCCCTCACAGGCTGGAGCTCTACCAGCTGGCAAGGGGAAAGCCCACCGTTTCCCACGTTTTTTGTCCTGTAAAGGAGAACCCATTTTAAAAGTTAGTTCGCGACCCTTCCATACATTCTTGTGACTCACTTATGGGTCACAACTCGCAGGTTGAGAAACGCTGCTGTAGACTAAAGCTTAGCCCCAGCTAAAAACCTTAACTCAGGTGTGGTTATATTAACTCTGGTGCTGCAATAACTGGCAGTGGCACGTGGGAGGCATTGCCAAGATGCTGGAGAAGGTTAGGTTTACTTCTATGACTCTGAAGAAGAGATTTGCCTTTCACTGTAATGGCTTCAGGTTTTCTTGGGGAGGTCAGATCACCTTGAATGCAGTCATGTAGTGAAGGCTGGAGACCTGTCCGATGGATGCACCATGGATAGTGCCCCCCTAACAGAGTCTAGCCTCCCACTGGGAGGATCTCACATGGGGGATTTCCCCCTATCTTGCTTCTTTGGTCTCTTGCTAAGGGCAAACAAGATTCAGGGGCATCTGAACCCCAGGACCTGTGGGCTTGGTTCCTGTATGCTGGATGCCTGCCATAGATTTGGGAGTATCTGAACCCCCAAACTGAAGAGTCTGGGAGGGAACATACTTGCTGGTGGTGGACCTGAATGACTGGGCTCTCTGCTCAGTGGGTGAAATTAAATAATTTGACTGTTTTGGCTTGAGACATGAAATTAAAAATAAATAAGTAAATAAATAAGTATAATCCAGGACTGACATCACAGCATCTTTTGTCTGTTTTGACTACATTTGGCCTAGTTTGCTGTGCGTTTTAAATCTTTGTATGTAGTCCAGTAAATTTAGCACACGTTCCAATAGTTCTGCCCATGCATACAGGTACTTCCAACTGTTTGTGTGTTGTGATCGGCTACAACAACAGAGTTGGAAGTACACAAATTTCCAACTGGGTGTGTACTTCCAACTGTTTTTATGTGGCACTGGTACAAAAGAAGGTAGTAAAGCACTGGAACAGGCTACTCAGAGGTGGTGGAAACTCCCTTTTTTGAAGTTTTTAAGATCCAGGTAGACAAAGCCTTACCCAAGATAATCTAGTTGGGGGGGGGGGTCCTGCTCTGAGCAGAGGGTTGGACTAGATGACCTCCTGAGGTCCCTTCCAACCCTCATTTTCTATGGTTCTGTGAATCACTGTGAAGAAATTCTTGAGGTTTCTAAAACACATGTTGTCAGTGGTTAGTTGCTTCAGATGTTCACGGTTGAGTTCATATTAAAAAGTAGTTTAAACTGGAAACTGAGTCTAGACAAATACTGTAAAAGATACCAGGAATAATTGTCCATTAGTGGAGAAGAGATTAGGTGGCTACCAAGTTATTTCATGTGTATTTTCTATAAAATCTATGTAAGGGAAGGAAATTGATTTTGAACTGTCATCCTTTGTGTAGCTCATTAAATATCGCTAGGATTATCCAGTGGATAAAACGTATTAGATGTGAGTCTGTTCCCCGAGGAGGTTGATCTTAAAAGCATTTATTAGCTTCAATACAGAAACACAAAAAGAAAAGTGGTCAATGTAGTTTTAGATTACTTATGAAAAAGATAATATCAAAAGAATGCTGCTTAGATTTTAAAGGTAAACTCCAGAGAGTTTAGGGACTGACATTAAGATCTCCCATGCCACTTAAGCTCTAACCCCTTGTGTAGCTGTCCTGTCAGACAAATAGAGCATGCTATTAAAAACCATTTGCCTATGTATGAAGGAGAAGAATTATAGTTGTACAGATCATTTTTATAGTAAATTAGGTGTTTTTCAGAACGATTGTTGGGTTTTTCATCAGAGTAGCGGGTTTCTTTTAGGAATGGTCATAAAGACAACCATGAAAGTTTGCCAACTACCCCATGATGTAAAGCTTACATCATCTAATCCAGTTAGTAAATGAGGTTTTCTGTTAGATTTCATGGTTATAAATTACCATGCAAGATGCAAAACCTCAGTTTTTGTTGGACAGTTTATCCAATGAGGGTGTGATATGGTCACTAAATTTTGTACGGCTGAATTCTTCTGGTATTTCTGTATTGCCTTTTAGTCTTACCCAGTGGCCCTGTGAGTTCTTCTGCGTATTCTCTTTTAACAACTCCACTCAATTGAGGGATATGGCAAGTACAGGTTTCCCTCAATTTGTGCAGGTTCTTTATATGCGAATTTGCTTTCATGCAATGAGCATATTTAGACCCATAATTCATTATATGCAAGGTAAATTTGCTTTTATGTGATCAGCATAGACTCCCCCCCCCCCGCTCAAGCAGGTAAGTCTTTTGGGGGAGGGGAAGGGGCCATGGCCCAACTCACCCCAGCCCCGGCTGCAGCAACCCTGGGAGCAGCCGGCACCAGCTGCAGGCAGCCACTGGGCTGCACCGTGCTCTGCCTGTCCCCCTTCCCCCCCCCAAGCCTGGGCTCTGCTTGTCCACACTCACCTCTGCTCTTGGTCTGCACCATGCTCTGGTGCAGGCAGCTGGTGGCAGCTGGGGTTGGCTGCATGCTGGAGCTACCCCGAGAGCAGCTGATACCAAATGCCTAAACCAGGGCATAGTGCAGCCCAGAAGCAGAGGTGAGTGTAGATAAGTGGAGCCTAGGCACAGTGGGAACAGGCAAAGCATGGTGCAGCCCAGCAGCTGTATGCAACTGGCGCCAGCCACTCCCGGGCTGCTGGAACAGGGGCTGGGGTGAGTGCTGCTCGGTTCCCTCTGTTTTGCTGCCTTGTACAGCCCTGGGAGCAGCACCCCTCCCCCCACCCCTTCCCTAGTCCCAGCCTCCCTCCCTCCCTCACCGCTATGGGAACCTATCCCCATTTGTTGCATTGTAAAATGGGTTCGCTTTATGCAAATTCAATTTATGCGCCGTTCTCCGGGAATGCACATACCACATAAATTGAGGGAAACCTGTATTGTCAAATGGTAGAACTGCTTCTCCTAAATAGTGAAGCGCAGAATTTTGGTGCCCTGTAGTTGTTTTTAGAAGGGCACTCTGAAGTTGATGAGGGTAGCTAATAATTGAGGTTTAAAGAGTGAATGGTTAGATAGCACTGGCACTCATACTTTTTTGGGTCATGTACTTTTAAGTTTATTAGGCTTCTGTGTACCGTATGATTCTGGGTTACAGACAATAAAATAGTAAGGACCTTGTTGCATGGTAATTTTGGGTGGTTCCTGGAGCTCTTAACCCCTGGGTTGTCCACACATTAAAACCCGAAGTTGGTTATAAATACTCGTTATGTGGCTCAAAATTATGCCACTCAGTGGTAGGATTATCTCTAATCCCTGTATGCAGCTTGTTACAGTAAGGGGTAGCCATTCTAGGTTACATCTTAGTGTAACCACCCCACTGGCCTCCTCTCCTGCACTGGCCCGGATCAGTCCCACTGCCCCACCCTGGCCCTCCCCAGTACCCCAGATCCCTGCTCACTGCCCCCTCGCCCTCCCCCCATCCCCACCCCTTAATTGTGGCTACCTTGTTGTCTGTTGGGGGGGTGCAGGCAGGGAAGGGATAACCTGCTTGCCTGACCACTGCTGAATTGCTGCAGCTCTCTGGGGAGCCCAGGGGGCTTGGGGGGAACTGGGAGAACCCCAAGGGGCTGGGGAGAAGTCCAGAATGGGGCTGGAGGTGGGGGGGGGGTAGAGATTCTACCTTTCAGTCCTCCAGGCCCTGCTGCTGACCTGAAGGTGTGACTGCTTCAAACTTGAGCTAGAACTAGCACCCATAAACATTTGTGCCATGCACAGTGTAATGCAGGGGTGGGCAAAATACGGCCCGTGGACCAGATCCGGCCTGCGAGGCCACTCTATCCCGCCCGCGAGGCCACTAAAAATGTAGAAAATTAATATTTATTTACCCTTGGTTCCTGTCAAAAATGACAGTGTAATGTGTAACAACTACAACCACACTATGAGTAAGAGTGTTTTTCATTTTTTATTTTTGCTTTTCTTTATTCTGCTTTCCCATTCTTTTCTCTGTGTACTTTCTGGGAATTTGCCACATACCACCAGCAGTATATATATTTCCCCATCTGGGAAACTAACCTAGAGTTACAAGACCACAGAGGACACTCTACTGTACAATTTATTTTACCCTTGCTTCCATCATTATTATTTCTCCCCCGCTACCCCCTTTCAGAGGTGTTTGCAAGCATAATTTTACTTGAGTAAAAGAGGTATGTGAGTATTCACACTGTCCTGTCAGCCTTCTTTTGGCAGGTGAAAGACATTGCTGGAAACCTGTTACTTCAATTCCTGTCTCAACAAGTACGGCATCTAAGAAATCAGTGTATTATGAGTAAACAGTTTCACATTTTCATGTTTTTTCAGGCCTGGAAGGATGCTGGACTTGCTCTGTCCACAACTAGTAATGAGGCTTGCAACATGTTTGATGCCATACTGACTCAGGTATGACAGAAGGGTTTGGGTTAAGTGGGTATTCAGAGGATTGTGTTGTTTCAGTTGATTTCCAAATTCCAGACTGAAAGAACAGTCAGGATAAAACCATAGTTCCAAAGAGCAGAGTCCCCAACTTATACGATTACTGATTTAATGTTCTTTCTGAATCTAATATCTATTCAGTCTTTTTTTTTAACCTTTATATGACTTGAGTTTCAGCTAGGGCAGTGAAAAGAAACACAATTCCACTTGTGTCTAGTCAGTGTCCTTTTCTATTGCAGTATGCAACATGGACCAATGATATGAGCCTGGGAGGCATTGAGGGATGTCTCGCCAAGTTAAAAGCAGCAGATCCAAATTTTAGTAAGTATAACCTTTTGATTGTTTGTATTGTTGCTGGATGTGTAGTGTTGTGGTTTTATCTGCTTAACTTATATTTCTCAGGAGATCTGGTGGGTTAGGATAACATTTTTGGTTTTGGACATCCTTTTTGCCTTCTCTAGCACATTTTCTTCTCTCTAGTATCTTTTGTCTGTGTTTTACTTCTGTTTTCAGTAGCAAACAGGAGAAATGGTAAATAGGTCAATAAAAAAAGATAATAGAATGTAACAAGGAAAAAGAAAAATCATTAATTTGTGGTACACAGAAAGAGAACTTGGATTTGGGAATCAGTCCTACTGTGCAAGGTAGTATGGTTAGGCCAGAGCTGTCCAACTTCTGAGTGGATAGGCCTTGCAGGCCTCCCAAGCCCATGCTCTGCAAGCTGCCTACCCCTTGGCCTATACCGTGAAGGCCACATGCCATGCCACATCTCATCATGTCATGTTAAATGGGCCCCTCCTGGTGCATGGCAGCCACCTCCACACTGTGCAGTATCCCTAACTCTCTCCAAGCCTTCTGGCTGCAGACCCCTAGGCCCTGCAGGCTGTGCCACCATGTCCTACATCCAGGAATAGGGGCAGGAAGCAGTAACAGTTAGAGATTCATAGATTCTAGCATCAGAAGGGACCTCAGTGGGCCATCTAGTCTGAACCCCTGCCCCTGGCAGGCAAGAAAAGGGTTACCAAACCTAGGATCATGTGATCCCAGCCAGGTGCCTGTCCAGTTTCCCCTTGAAGACCCCCAAGGATGGGACAAGCACTACCTCCCTTGGAAACCAGATCTTGGCAACCCTGACTGTGAAGGACTTTTTTCTAATGTCCAGTCTAAACCTACTCTCCAGTAGCTTATGGCCATTGTTCCTTGTTGTTCCAGGGGGTGCCCTGGTGAACAGCTCATCACCTACTTCGTGTTGCTCTCCCCTTATGAATTTGTACGCCGCCACAAGGTCTCCTCAGCCTTCTCTTGGAGAAGCTGAAGAGGTTAAGGTCACTTAGCCTTTCCTTGTAGGGCCTTCCCTGCAGGCCTCCAATCAGACGAGTGGCTCTTCTTTGGACCCTCTCCAGGTTGTCTGCATCCCACTTGAACTGCGGCATCCAGAACTGGACACAGTACTCCAGCTGCAGCCTGACCAGTGCTGCATAGAGGGGGAATCACCTCCCTGGACCTGTTTGCGAAGCACCTACAAGGTGCGATTGGCTCTGCCAACTACTTCATCACATTGACGACTCATGGTCATCCTGGAATGAACAGTGACTCCAAGATCTCTTTCTGCCTCAGTGGTGCTGAGAAGGTCGCCCCCCAGCCTATAGTTATGATGGCAGTTTTTTCTCCCTAGAAGTAGCACCTTGCACTTGTCCTTATTGAATTGCATCCTGTTGCTCTCTGCCCACTTCCCCAACCTGTTGAGGTCAGCCTGGATTTGGTTCCTCCTCTCCAGGGTGTTAGCTTCACCCCATATTTTTGTATCATCTGCGAATTTGGACAGAGTGCTTCCCACCCCCTCATCCAGATCACTGATGAAGATGTTGAATAGCACCAGCCCCCGAACTGAGCCCTGAAGGACCCCACTGCACACATCTTTCCAGGTTGACACTGACCCATCCACCACCACTCTCTGAGTGCGACCCCTGAGCCAGTTTGCTACCCATTTTACCATAGGCAAATCTCCTCAGTTTATTAATAAGGATGATATGAGATACCGTGTCAAAGGTCTTCTTGAAGTCCAGATAGATAACATCCACCTCAACTCCTGCATCTAAACATTTGGTGGCCTTGTCGTAAAAAGAAACTAGGTTAATCAGCCAGGCCCTGCTTGCTATAAACCCATGTTAGTTATCCCTCTGCATCACATTAGCTCCCACAGATGTGTTCCTTGATAACTTTTTCTAGGATTTCCCTGGGATAGAGGTAAGGCTGACCAGTCTATAGTTCCCTGGATCCTCCTTCCTCAATCTTCTTAAAGATTGGGATGACATTGGCTCTCTTCCAATCCTCTGGGACCTGACCCGAGCACCATCAGTGTTCATATATCCTTGCTAGTGGTTCAGCTGTGACACTTGCTAATTCCTTCATTACCCATGGGTGGAGTCCCTCTGGTCCCGGTGATTTGAACACGTCCAGTCCCTCCAAGTATCCTTTTACCGTGTCAGCACTGACTGTTGGTCGGCTGATGTTCTCCTTGCTGATGTCCGTGATACATATTGAGGGTTCATCTAGATTCCTATTTAAGAAGACAGAGGCAAAAAACTTATTAAAGAGCTCTGCCTTGTCCCTGCTATCTGTCACTCGCCCCCGCCTGTCCTGTAGGGGTCCTATGCTACCCTGCACCCTCTTTTTGCTCCCAACATACCTAAAGAAAGATTTTTTTATTATCTTTAATCCCTGTTGCTCGCCTGAGTTCTAAAGCTGCCTTGGCCTTCCTGACTGACTCTTTACAGGTGTAGGCCAAGGAAGTGTACTCCTTGATAGCTACCCCCTGCTTCCACTTTCTGTATGCTACTTTTTGTGTCCTTAAGGTATCCTGGGTGACCGTGGTTAGCCAAAGGGGCTTCCTGGCCTCTTTGTCCCCTTTTCTCTGCCATGGGATTGTCTCACTCTGAGCCCAAAGAATGGTATCCTTGAGGAATGACCACCCCTCCTGGACCCCCAAAGCATCTAGGCTCTTGGTTTCTAGTACCCTGCTAACCAATCCCCTGGGCCAATAAAGTCAGCCTTTTTAAAGTTTAGCACCTGTGTCCTGCTAGGTATAGTGCCCACTCTTCTCTGTATAGTAAATTTTATCATTTGGTGATCGCTGTCCCCTAAGTTGCCCTGAATCTGCAGGTCCCCCACCAGGTCATCCCCTGTGGCCAACACCAAGTCAAGCAAGGCATTACTCCTGGTGGGACTCCTTACCTCCTTTGTTAGGTGAAAGTCCTGAATACAGGTTAAGAACCTGCGTGAGCGCTTAGATCTAGCTGACTGTTTCTCCCAGCATATGTCTGGGTAGTTAAGGTCCCCCATGACTACCATGTTTCTAGACTGCACAGTCTCTGAGAGCTGCCTGGAAAATTCCCTGTCTACCTCATCCACCTGGTGAGGAGGCCTGTAGTAGACCCCCACCACCAGGTCCCTTTCATCCCGACCTCCTTGGATCCTAACCCACAGAGTCTCTGCTTGTCTATATTCTGATCCCAATTTGATTAGGGATCAGATTAGAGATTAGAGAGTGATGGTGGGGAGTGGTGCCTGGACAGGAAGCCTAAGGGCCACAGGTAATTCTCTCAGGAGCCACATGCAGCCCATGGACTACCTGTTGGACATCCCTGGATTAGGCCATCAGAAGGATACAGTACTGTGCAAATCCTTCCTGCTGGAAGATGAACATGGTAGCAGTTATGAATAATAGTGTATGTAAAGGACAGATTTATTGGTAAAGAAAATAGCAATCCTCATGTGGCATGGTGGAGTATCTTTTGACGAGTAGAAAGTACTGTGAAATGAAAGTTTGGAATTGTAGGCTTGCTTGTTTGGTTGGCTAAGTAAAATAAATTTATTTTAAAATGCATTTAAAGTTATCTTTGTTGAGTGTATACCTTCTTTACAATTTTTGAGACATTTCTGTACACAGGACAAAGGTGTTAAAACGTCTTTAGTATCCATTCCATTCTTGAATTAGCTTGCATTTTGAGGAGAATTTTACCCATAGCAGAGACTAGAGCTGCAGAGTAGAATGCCAAACATTTTGTACTGGCTAGTCTGATCTTGCTACATTGAGCAGTATCTCAATCGGCACCGTCGCTCGTTACAGGGCATGGTGTATGCGCCGATGACTACTTTGGCTGCTGAGTCCAATGGGTGAATGACAGTCCTGTGCACAGTAGGGCGCACCCATGCACCACAACGCTCTGAATCCGAACAGCAGAGTCTTTCCTCCCCTGGGAAAAAAGAGGAAAGAATCTGCTGTGCAGATTTCAGGATGCTTGCAAAGATGTCTTAGCATAATTTGAAATCTCTGTGGATGATTGGGAAAGGAGTGCAGAATGCCACTCTGGTTGGCAGAGTCATCTTGCAGATGGAGCAAGGCACTGTGAGGTGGACAAGAACAAGTTTTGTGATGACCAGCATCAGAAGAGCAGTATTTGAGTGTAAATAACAAGGGAACAAAAACAGGAGTTAAACAACTGGGAAGAGGGAGCCTTGCTAACTATTTGTCTGTTGTAACATAGTAACTATCATGTTGCAGCTGTTTAACTCTGCCAAATTTAATTTGTCTGTCCCCAGAAAACCCTACAGAAGGAAAATTTCCCATTGGAAAGGAACCTTACACTGCAGACAGCAAGCAGGGAGTAGAGGCAGTCTGAGAGGAATGTGTTGCTCCTCTGTGATGTGTATTGCAGCCAATAAAATGAACAACCCATGAGTCCTGATCTTCTGTGTACCTGTTATGTTATTCCAAACTTGTTTGCTCTCACGCTTTCTCTCTCTCTCACTGCCAGTGAGGTTACGTCCCATTGTGACTTAGTGTCTTACATGTTCTCCAACCATCTCCATCTTTATCCCTGCATGTTCTCAGTCCCCCTACTGATAACCTGGTATTAAGTCCTCTCTAACTTCTTAGCTGTTGCTGCCTCTGGCCACAGTGCCTCTCTAGTCACTGTGATCTGCATTTCATTGTCATTTTTGTGCATGGGCTATTACGAAGCAGAGGGAAACTGTTCTACAAAAGTTCTTTTCTACAGTAGGCCTGAAAAAGCATTGGCACCTAGTACCATTCCTAATACTAAAGTTGGTATTTGGGGACAGAGGAGAGTTGTAGGAATGTTTAAGGAGAATTTGAAAATAACCAGTTTTCTGACTAGAAAAATGTCAGGTTCCTGCTAGTAACTCAGTGTGTGATTTGGGCTTTCTGTTAGACGGTAACCAGTTTTGGCACTACTGTTTACTGGTATGACGTCATTGAAAAATACCTCAGTAGTTTAGCCCACATTTATTGTATCTGCTAAACTATCTGCATTTCTGCATATCTGAAGTTAGTATCTGTTGTTTTTTCAGCAATGGGACATGTGATTGCTAATGGCTTGGCTCTGGTTGGCACTGGGAGTTCAGTGCGGTTAGACAAAGAGCTGGACAGTGCAGTAAAGAAGATGATGGCTCTTTCAAAATCACAGTTGTTGACCGAGAGGGAGAAACTACATGTGTCTGCATTAGATTTGTATGTTCGTGGGTAAGTAGTTGTTTTTTAGTGGAGCAAAAAGGGAGGCATGGCTTGGTTTTATCATTCAATCTCTGTGATTTATCACATGTAGGCCTACCTCCTTGTGGGCTGGATCATAACCCACCCTATCCCTGCTCATCCCACCCCCAAGTTCCTGTGGGCTCATCCCACCCCTTCACAAGCCCCACGGGCCAGGTAACATGGCTCTCCCTGGTGGATATGGTCTGTGGGCCTTATCTTTGACATTCCTGGTTTAGAATAAGGTGTATGTTGAAGACAGTGTAACTAATGTTCTTATACATCTAAAAACTAAGAAGTTACTGCAAGGCAGAAGACTCATTTGTCATTGAGTTTCCTTCTTGACAGAGTAATATGGGTTTAGAAATAATATTAGGAGGAGGCACTTGAATCTCGTTGGTTCTATTGATGATTAATATAAATATGGTTTCTCATCTCCAGGCATCTTCCCCAAGCTTGTACAGTATGGGATCAGATTCTCCAGGACCATCCAACTGACATGCTAGCACTCAAATTCTCCCAGGGCACTTATTTTTACCTGGGCCATCATATACAAATGCGAGACTCTGTTGCCCGGGTTTATCCTCACTGGACACCTGATATGCCTCTGAGCAGGTATGTAATAGGTTGTCTTCAATTATTGATTGGATTACCTACATCTGGTGTGCCTGTGCTTTGGTCATCTGGTCAGCAGCGTTATTTGGGGCTGTGTACATGTGCTGATTATCCCTACAGCCCCATCCAAGCATATGGATGAGGTAAACTTAACTACCAGTATATAGAAGAATGAACATTTATTCTGTGTTCCTACTGATACACTGCTTATTTTTTTCTAAATGAGATTTTGCCCAAATGGAGCATTTTTTTTTAATAGCTTTCATGTGTCATAAATGACATGGGGTGAAATCCTAGCTGTACTGACATCTCTGGCAAAAGTCATGTATGAAAAATGCCTTCCCTCTTGTTACCTGTGACACATCATAGTTTTTTGGGTTAGCTTGTTTTTTAAAATCATGGGATTCTTGAGGCCATGGTGTGTAAGGGGATGGAGTGGATGATTGTAAGGAGCCGTTGACAATCAGTCGCCTACAAACGTCGGGATCTAGACTGAAAGGATAAGAAGGCCCCTACCAGTCTCCAAATAATGGAAGTATCCACAAGCCATCAGTAGTGGTGGTATTGGGAAAGAATAAGATCCCACTTTATCCAAGCATGCCAATGCCTGATTTTCTCAGAATTGTTGCATCATGAACCTTGCCTGTGATTCCCATAGTATGTTGATGAACCTAACTCTGTAGTTAATCAGCCCTTACCGAACAATAGAGTTAATTTCCCTTGTAGTTAATATATTTGTTGGTTCCTTTAGAGAGTGAAGATATAGAGCATATATTTACCATCCCTGTATATATGAACGGGCAGGGCAGCAATCATAATGTTCATCATGTTGGCCCAGCGTGTCTTGTATGCTTCCTTCAGTCCTTTGTATCCCACACCTTTGCATGTTTCTGTCATGGCCAAAAGGCTTTCCATCCTCTCTTACCTCTCCAAAAGATCCATAGTTTTTATCTTGTGTTCTTTCAGTCAGAACTTTCTTCCCAGAGATTTGATCTAAATCTGCCTTGCTGTAGTTTAAGCAATATTAAGAAAAGCCCAGCAGTTCTGAAGAGTACTTCAGACCAATTCCTGGAAAGACTGTACTCCGTACAGAGTTTGGGGTATACCCCCATAAATCCTACCACTGTATTGAAGTCAAAGGCAGCACAGGGCAGATGAGTAACCCAGGCTTGACACACCTAAGATCAAAACAGGTAGATGAGGGAGAAGTGGCTAGCTTGTCCTTGAGCTCAGAGTTTGTAGATATCTTAGAGTTAGACGTACCCTTAATGTTTCCTTTTTTGGTCTCATATAAGTATCCATCTTAAAAGTGCTTTTCCATCTCTCTAAATTTATTTCACTGCAAAATTTAATTAGTAAAATAGTATAATGTTGCATGCATTATCAAGTTCGGGAATATATGCATTGCATCTTGTATGCTTTGCATACTTTGTTTCATTGACTACAAAAAATGTCATTTCCTTTAAAATAATACTCTACATCATAATCAGTTCTCTGTGAGTTTAACAGAGCATTGTCACAACCCAAAGGGTGTGATTTTTGTTTTTGTGTGCTTCGGCACTGCTAAATTGTTCCCGCTAAATTGCAGCTTCTTTGCACGGTGGAGTTTTCTGCTGCAAAAGAGAACCCCGGTGCAAGGGAGAATTTCCCGTCAATTTGAAGCTTTCTTTGCAGGGTGCATTTCTTTGTTGCAGCACAGAAATGCTCGTTGCAAAGAGTTCCCGCCATTTGTATGCTAATTTGAGCCCCATTATTGGCCAGTTCTAAATTATTCACATGTGGTGGCTAGTGATTGGCTTGCTAGCCGTATAAAAGGCTTGAGTGGTTTCCGCCCAAGTTGGAGGACTCCACGAACACCGGGAGGAGGAGACTTCACGCTGTGTGAAGATCTCTAAGCGTTGCAGATCCTTACGGACCCAACGCATTTCAAGCACGCAACAGAGGTCTGATCAGCCTCTAGCCTCTCCCCGTCGCCGATCGCAGCCTAGACGTATCCCTCCCTGCGCGCAAAAGAACCGGACCCACGAAGCCTAGCAAACTTCGTGTGGATGAGTGAGCAGAAGGACCCACGGAGCCTAGCAAACTTCGTGTGAGTTTATTCAGAGCTCTTTCGGACGAGTACTTTCTTCGGTTGAGACGACGGGCTCGCGTGTTCAGAGCCTTCAGCCGGATTGGGCTAGAGTTCACGAGTTTAGAACTCTTGTCCGCCTCTCTTCTTTCCTGTCTGTAACCGCAACTCAAGCAAGTTTTCCAGCCTACACCACTGCCATCTCGGTGTAAGTAAACAATCTTTAAAACTACCGCTAAGCGTTTGTGCCTAATTCCAGCTCGTCGGCCCTCCCTCTCCGACCCGGCGTGCCCGGGCTGCTGGCCACAGCCCGCGTGCAGCACGGAAAAGGGCTCGGGTCGCGCCCGGCCTGCACAAGCATATGGAAAACATGATTTTTCCTAAAAAGTGTACAGTGAGAAGGAAAGAGCGAGGTGGCCATTTGGTGGATTTCTAATTTTTATAGGAAAATCAGCTCCTGAGTTCTTTTTCTCTCTGCTGTTGAGTGTTACAACTTGCCGTGAATGAAATTTTTTGTCACGCATACTTCTAGCGTTTTGCAATATAAGTGTCATCCTTAGAGTTCTAAATGATTTTTCTTTCCTTTCATTTAGCTATGTGAAAGGCATTTTCTCTTTTGGACTGCTGGAAACTAACATGTTTGATCATGCTGAAAAGCTTGCCAATGAGGTAAGCAGGCCACTACTGGTGCTAAAAGCCTTTGAACTTGTAATCCTGTTCAGTATTCCATATTGCATATGTTCATTTGAGAAATAAGATTTAATTGGATCATAGAAACAGGGCTGGAAGGGGCCTCACAGGGTCATCTAGTCCAGCCTCCTGCTCGAGGCTGGATCAGCCCTGACTAAACCATCCCAGCTAAGTTTCTGTTCAACATTTTCTTGAAAACTTACCCAGGTGGATATTCCACAATTTCTCTAGGTAGCCTGATCCAGTGCTTTATTACCCTTATAGTTAGAAAGTTCTTCCTAATCTCCAACCTAATTTTCCCTTGCTGCAGCTTGAGGCCTTGCTCCTAATCCTGCCCCCCTACAGTCACAGAGAAAAGTCCATTTCTGTCTTCTTGCAGAGAGCTGGACTTTGTGTCACCTAAAGTTGCATCATATATGAGACTTAGCCTTCAGTTTCTATGTTAGCAGTAGCTAATAGGGGTGTGCGAAACGAGCCGTATTTGATTCGGATTCAGCCTGGATCAGGGACAGTGATTTGATTCATTGATTTGGATTGCTGTCCCCGATTTGATTCGGCCAAATCTGAATCTGAAGATTTGATGCTGATTTGGAAAATCAGGGATTCAGCCATAGACACAGCTTTAAATATTTTTTCTACATACCTCCAGGTACCAGGCACATGGCTCGTGAATGCTGTGATGGTGGGGCAGATGGAGAATCCCACAGGAGCACGGGGCGGGGGGGGCCTGCATGCTTGGCAGCGAACCTGGAAGTGAACCAGAAGTAATTCCAGTCCACATCTGAGTCCAAGTGCTACCAAGTGCTCAGGGGGGTTCCCCTGCACTCCCCCCAGCTTGGTGATTGTCTGCAGAGGGACCCCGGGTGCCCCTCCAGACTTGGGAAGCTCCAGTTGCTGGGGCGCAGGGGGGCCCCCAGCGCGCTCCCTGGGGGACCCAGAAGTGGACCAGAAGTGCTTGTGGTCCACTTCTGGGTGTGCTGCCAAGCACGCTGGAGAGCCCCGCCGCACTCCTGTGGGACGCGCCATCTGGCCCACCATCACAGCATTCACAAGCTGCCTGGTACCTAGAGGTATGTAGAAACAACATTTAAAGCTGCATCTACGTTCGAATCGCTGAATCTTTTTGAATCTCTCTGAATCGATTTGGAGGGTTCCGATTCGATTCAGAGAGATTAAAAGGTCTTCTGATTCAATTTGGATTCAGAGGTTCAGCCACTGAATCTGAATTCGGCCACTGAATTCAGCCATTCTCATAGGGAAGCCAACGGACTGTGGAGTAGATGCCTACACAGGTGGGTGGCTAACTGGCTTAGGGACCACACCCAGAGCATGGTGGTTGACAGGTCATTTTCAACCTTGGGCTGGTATTATTTAATATCTTCATCAGTGATTTGGATGAGGGTGTGTTGAGCACCCTCTCCAAGTTCACAGATGATACCAAATTATGGGGCAAAGTTAATACACCAGAGGGCAGGGAGCAGTTACAGGCTGACCTGGACAGGTTAGATCAGTGGGCAGAACGTAATAGGATGCAGTTCAACAAAGGTAAATGTAAGGTACTCCACCTAGGAAGGAGGAATCCCCAGCACACCTACAGGTTGGGGGATGTCCTCCTCAGCAGCTCGGAGGCTGAGAGAGATCTTGGAGTCATAGTTGACTCCAAGATGAACATGATCCGGCAGTGCAATGAGGCCATCAACAAAGCCAATCACACCTTGTTGTGTATTAGCAGATGCATGACCAAAAGATTGAGGGAGGTGATGCTCCCCCTCTATGCAGCACTAGTCAGGCCGCAGTTGGAGTACTGTGTCCAGTTTTGGGTGCCGCACTTCAAGAGGGACATGGAGGATCTGGAAAGAGTTCAGAGGAGGGCCACCCACATGATTAGAGGTCTCTGTGAAAGACCCTACGAGGAGAGGCTGAGAGATCTGGATCTCTTCAGCCTATACAAAAGATGGCTGAGGGGTGACCTTCTGGCCACCTGTAAATTTATCAGGGGAGGACAGCAGGGAATTGGGGATGCACTGTTTACCAGAGCACCTCAGGGAGTAACTATGAATAATGTGTGCAAACTAGTGGAGAGTAGATTTAGGTTAGACATTAGGAAGAAATTTTTTACAATAAGGGTGGCCAGAGTCTGGAATGGGCTTCCAAGAGAGGTAGTGCTGTCACCTAACTTGGAGGCCTTCAAGAGGAGGCTTGACAATCACCTGGCAGGGGTCATCTGACCTCGGTCCTCTTTCCTGCCAGGGGCAGGGGGTCGGACATGATGATCCATTGGGTCCCTTCTGACTCTATAATCTATGAATCTCTGCCGAATCGAATCAGGGTCCAAAGCTTCGCATAGCCCTAGTAGATAAGTATTTATTTAAAATGTTCCACTAAGCATTGTCTTTTTTTTTCTTTCTTCCTATCATCAGGCTTTATCTATAAATCAGACAGATGCATGGTCTGTCCATACCATAGCGCATATAAATGAAATGAAAGTAAACCTGAATAATGGACTGACATTTATGAAGCAAACTGAAACCAACTGGAAGGTAAATGTACTTAACAATGCCTTCAGAATGGCTGCTTTTGGGGGGGTCTTTCTTTCCATTTAACTCAATGCTTTTGAGATGTGGGGTTCTTTCTTTCCATTTAACTCAATGCTTTTGAGTCCTGTTTACATACCTTTTCACCAGATGTATTACTAGTTACATAGTTAAACAGAAGAAGCCCTTGCTTCCAGGGGGAAATCTTTGAACATACTACTTAAGATTCAACAGACAGAAAATTTAGCAACCAATCCATAATTCAGAATACCATTCTGGGCATTAATCTTTTCAAGTATAGCTTGAGTGCTTATGGATGTGATCAGTAATACAGAGGTTTGTTTTAATGTCAACAGCCCTCCTCCTTTTTATGTCTATTTGAATGACCACATAAAGACTCTTGAGGCAAGTTTTGCCATTGGTGTCAGAGAAATCAGAAATTCCAGCTGACAGATGGGAACATTATTTACTTATAACTTTTCTTCTTATCATTCCTGGATTAGCTATTAGATGCAACCAGTTAGTGGCAGGGAACACTGAGAATCCTGTCAATGGTGCAGTGACAGAAACAAAAGCTGCTTATTGCATCTAAGTAAAAGCCGCTGCTTTTCCATCATAAAGATGTGCTCAAGGAGACGTGAGATTTCATTTAGCCATTCAGAATTTGCACTGAAATGAAGCATTGCAGAAAATGGTCCAAATTCGACTCCATTACACAAGTGTAAATCTATGTTTAGTATACATCTGTTGTTTCAGATAAGACATTCCAAATGTATGGTGGTTTGCATGAGAAGCAAAATCTCCTATGTCTTTCTATGTACTTGGATAGCCCACAGGGCCAAAATATCACCCAATACTAATGAGTTTATTATTACACTGCCACTCTGAGATAAGTAACTGTTGTTATCCTGATTTCATGGATTGTAACTTGCTCAGTTTTTCCACAGGAACTGAACCTCACTCTCTTGAGTCCAAGTCCATTACTTCAACCATAAATTAATTTATTTTCTTTAGGTGCAGTTGGAGACAAGCCACTTTACACACTGGGGCATTTTAACTTGTTGGTAATTTTAGTTTTTTGTTTTAAATTCTTAACTAAAAATCATAACATAATGTATAAGGTGATCAATTCTATTTTTTTTCAACTTCTAAATTATAAGGTTGACCTTTTTTGGAGTTGTGTTCCTTATCTTGACTTAAAGACAAGTCATTGGGTCTGGATTGCATCCAAAATGCTATCTTCTCAGTGTATGCTATTTCTCCTAATAATACTATGGTAAATACTTCAGTGTCTGTGTCTTTGCGTAGAAAATATTTTGCCATTCATCAGCACAAGTCTCCAAAAGACATGGGTGGTGTTGGTAGGTGAACTGTTTTAAATGCTACTTGCGATTTAGCTTTTAAGCAACATATATTCGCCTATAGTGCTTTTATCTGCTGTAACTGTTTACCCTGTGTTTTATTGCACGTGGTAAAGGGAAATTTACAGGCTTTCTTCTTAGACTACACTTTAAAGGTTGATAGGGAGCTTGGCAAAAAAACCCAACTTCATGAAAAAGTTAATGAATTTAGAGTGTATTGCATATCCAATCGAAGCCAGATTGCAAAGAAGCTCTGGAGACACCTGTGTTAATTTCTAGAGGAAAGGGTGTTAAAAGTTTATTTGTAAAGGAAATAGAAATGGTACTTGAGTCTGTTTCTAGCGTATTCAAGATCTTAAGTTGCCTCTGTCACCCAAAAGATTGGAATAGTTTGTAGCAGTTCATTAAAACAACATACGTAACAGTTCTCATGTGGTTCTTTAGTTTGCTCTTCTGTGCAACGTGTGTTTTATTAGTAAAATCAAGTCTTAAAGAAGTGCCCATTTGTGCTTTTGTGCTTGACTTTTAATGATTGAACTTATGGATAGAGAGTGTTCAAGCCTTCACTTCAGGATCAAATCAGGCATATCATATCTCAGAGCCCTTAGAAATTCTACTTTAACAAAAAATGTAATGAACAATACAGACAATATGGGTAGAATTTTTTTTAAGTTCCTAAGTGACCCAGGCCCCTGTATTCTGGGTTACTTTTGGAACTGGATCTTAGACTCCTGTTAGCATTGCTCTTGGTTCAGAAAAGTCTGTTTCTTTATTTTTCCCTGGCTGACTCAGGGATGTCACAAACCCGTTTGTCAACTTTAGCTCTTGCCCTGCATTTCAGTAGCTCCCAGGATAGCTCTGCTCTGGCAATCATACATTAATCTTACACAAAACTTTACATTGGCAGCCCCCATCATCCCTGGGAAGAGAATCCAATAATTTTACTCTCTCGACTTTTCTAATAGACGGCTGTGTAGAGCAAACCTGGTAATATCCCCTTTGTGTCAGACGCTTTATCACCTGTCTTGTTAGAGTCCATTTTGTAGTGTAATATTAAACAAGCAATGATAACCTTTTGGTTTATCTAGACAACATAAAATACTGACATTGCCAAGGACTTTGACACTTCTCAAAATCTGGTATTGCAGTAGCTGCTATGACAGTGAGCACAGTTTGCCCTTGTGTGAGGCAACTGACTTTAACTATGCCACTGTGCATTGAATTATAAAATCATAGAAAAGCAGAGCTGGAAGGGGCCTCAGTTGGTTGCCTACTCTAGCCTTCTCACTGAGGCAGGGTCATCCATACCCAAAGCATGCCCTCCAAGTTCTTGTCTAACCTCTTCCTGAAACTGCATAAACAAGAATGGAGGGTTTAAGATTCTTTGTCAGATATGTCCCTTCTTTCCTCTGTCACCAGGGTATTGTCCAGTCAGGCGTCTGTTTGTTGCCACATCATTGAATCCAGAGGATATCTGCCAAAGTAATGGAAGGGCATATTTGAACTCTTTATGCTGTCAGCCTTTGGCTGGAAAGAAAGACAATGGAGAGGTTTTTTTAATTGTGCTATCAAATGATACTCATTGTGAGCATGAGTCAAAATGCATTTCCATTCTGAAAAATGACTGTAAAACTGAGAGAAGAGGGCCTCCAAACTTGAAGTACTGCTACATTCAGTAGCTTGGCTAAGTCTATTCCAGCCAGGCAGTTGGTTCAATAAAAGATAACCACAAAAACCCTTGCTTCTCACATTTTCTAGACCATAGTTCCATCACTACCAAAACTCTATAAAACTTTATTTTTAAGATTTCAGATCTTTATTGCCCTGAATAGCCTCAAAGAGGAAATCCATTCAGTAAAAAAAGTGCCACAGTCAGTATTCAGAGGGGAATTGCAGTTCTAGGTTGTTGGCTTTTTTATCTGCTCATGACTTAAAAATTCACATTTACTGCAGAAGAAGACTGACCTCTAAAACCAACTGAATCGATTTTAAACTGAGTTTATACATTGGCTGAATTCTTTCTTTCTCTCTCTCTTCTCAGGATGCTATGGTTGCTGGTCATAATTATTGGCACTGGGCTCTGTATTTCATTGAAAAGGTATGGAGATGATTTTATATCTGTGCTGTACATTACAGGTGGACAATCCGACAAATAAGTTTGATCGATCTGCCTTGCTCCCTTTTAAATATGTTGCAGTGTTTCCAAAAATAGTGTAATAGCATTTGTGTTGCTGCTACTTTTATTCAGATATTTTCAAATTATTTCATTTTTCAAAGTATAACATTTTTAAATGAGTTAAAATGTAGAGAAGTTAGTGTCAAGCCATTAAGTACTCATGGTAATTGCACATTCTGCACAAATGTTTTGATATAGTGATGAAACCCAGTTCTGTAGTCCTGAAAAAGGCAAAATTCCCATTAACTTCAATACAAATAGTGCTGGCACAAGGGGTTTTGAAGACACTTTGCATGAATTACCCAGGAGACTCAAATGGCTACTGTGAAAAAGAAAATTGATATCACATGATCTGAAATGCTGCATGTTCTTAGAACTATTTAAGATGTTTTGAAACCCTTAATTAAAATATTTATACACAACCTATTGGGCAGAAAAACATTTTGTTTGGTTTAAATAATGCAGTTAAGGCTTTTGTGTAGGGCAAAACTCAGCAGCAAGATAACAGTTGACATGTATGTAAAACAATGTAAGTTAATCAAAAAACACAGGTTGTTAGCAAAGAGTGTACTTTGCCCCAGGTTGGCATGAGGTTAATACAAAATGTGTGCAACTCTCAAAATGCCTGAACCTGGAGACTGTAACTTTAAAGGAGGTCCTTTTTCTACTTCCTTGCTGCTTCCTCGATTTTCTTCTCGCAGACACCCCTCCCACCTGCCCTGTGCACATCTTGTCAGGCTTTATACATTGTGCTTGTTTTACACATCTACTGAAAACCATGCTAGGACAAAATACACTTCCTTGCATGATTTTACCAGAAGTGTAACATACATCAGCTTTGATATCGCCGCTGAATTAGACCCAAAGACTTCAGGGATAATTTGCCTGGTAAATCCTGGTGCAGTTCCAACTGAAATTTCCTTTAAGTCTTTAAAGCTCTTTCAAGCTGGAGCTTTGGATTAAAAGCTGTGGAAAGCTGACTTATTTTTATGTAAAAAGACTGTTTATAGAGGATGACTTGGGATGCGTATTGATAAGACTAGGACCTACTCTTCTGCTCTGTATGTAATCGAGGGGAGTTGAATATACATATAAATATGAATGATAAGATTTATTAGAATATATCTATACTAGTTGAACCTGTGCTTTTATGCAGAAGATTAATATGATTTTTTTAATTTTTTTATAACTTTTTGTGATAATCATCAGCTTCACTTTATGGTTTATTTATCATTGCCTGTTCCAGCTTCAAAAGCTTTCAGACCATTGTTTCTATCTGCTTTCGTCTCTTATAGACTGTAATTGAAATTTTTGACGTGGGTGAGCTACAAACCCACATGATCTGGTCTCCGGAATAAGAGATTTAATTTATACAGATACTACAGGTGCATACTGATATGATAAAAAAACGTTTTCTAAAAATCTGTTTTTACCACACTCTACCAGTTACTTTGGGACACTGCATTCTAAAGACCGTCATCCCATGGTCCTTTGCTTTTACAGGGCGACTACGAAGCTGCTTTGACGATTTATGATGATCATGTGAGTAGGAATGATTTCTTTAGTGAAAATGCATTATACGTTGCCTGGTGTTTACATATTTCTTTCTGTATTTAACATAAAGGAAATTATGGTGTGATACAGATTTCTGTTCTATTTATAAATGTTTAAGTGTCAGTTTAAGGCAACTGTTACTCAACTGGTAAAAATACATGTGCGTTAGAGGTCATCCTAAAATGCCCAAAAGTTTCTTATGCCATCGTGTTTGTATTTTGTTTACTCCATATTTTAGAAACTATTTTAAATGTTATGCCTGAATTTTAAAAAAATATTTTCACCGTACTATTTTTCAGTGCCTCTAGCTTTAGCCAGACTGCACTGACTGCTCTGTACAGACCATAGAGAGACTGGAAAAAAATACGTAAATATCTAATGTGATATAAAATGCATTCTTGGTAAATCCAAGGTGTCTTGAGTGAAGTCTGAGCTCAAAGGTTAGATGACAAAACATTTTAGTCATGTTTTTCCCCTCATTTCTAGGTGATATATTAAAGGTCTTTGACTGGATTTCAGGAAAACCTTTTGGAATGATACACAGGCAATGAATTAGGAGTCTGCATAAGACATTTCTGTGCCTGCATTGTTTTTAAATGATACTATGATACCTTGTCCTGCCTAATACTGTTGCAATGTATCTTGTTTGTAGTTCCAAAAATATCAAAGAATTGTATCCTTTGTAGACTGAAGTATTTGTGAAAAGGTGAAATTTGTGTTCTTGCAAGATAACTGTATCTGGAAGAGTAGACTTTTTGCATTGTCAAGATACATTTTGACTCTCAAGTTAACTTTCCACTTCTACGTGGGTCAGGCAACTTAAAAATGCCTTCTGATTGCAGATTGGTCCCAGGTGTAGGACAAGTGGAACTCTGCTAGATGTGGTTGATAACTGCTCTATGCTGTACCGGCTTCAGCTAGAAGGTAAAGAAATGCTATTTCTGTATCATTCTTCTTTAAAGGGTGAAGAGCAAAGCACCACTTTTCCAGCATGCTGGAGGAGCAGTGTTAGAGACAATATTCAGAGCAAAGCTGAATGATTGCTGTTACAGGGGCCAACTCTTTAAATTGATGCTTTCCTTGGGAGGTGAATGTTAAGTTTATATTCATGTTCATTACCTTTATTTCTCCCCTGAGCTTATTTTTGTAATTTGGCCAGTATAGTATTCCATTCAGCTAGTCAAATATAAATCCATGTTTTTCTTTATCAACTAATTTCACTTTCTTTGTGCCTGGACAACAAGAAGTTGAAAAATCAACTGCATAAAGCAAAACTGTCCAGTTTCTAAGAGGCAGGGGGTCATGCCCTCTGCAACCTGTGGAGAGGTGGCGGGGGGGAGGGGTCCATACAGGAAATGGTAGTAGTGCAAACGAAGTGCTATTAAATGCCATCTGGCTTCTCTTGCTGGGAAGATCCAATCAAGTCCAATATTTAATTATTAATTTTCAGACTGATTGAAATAAGAGGTCTATGAATGTACTGTATCAGTCATTCAGAGAGTTTCATGAGACAATCTAAGCTAGAGCTCTGGAAAAATAACTTATTCACGTCCCAGTTTGTTTAATTTTCATGGAACTCTGCTACATCAGGTCATGATGAACTCATCTGCATATGTATTTTGAATTGGTAATCAAATGCCACAGATGAATTGAGAACAATGATAAGAGCCTATCCTGTTATATGGGTTAAGGAGAAGGTGATCTATCTGCTGATAGGCCAGAATCCCTGCTAATCCCTGCTAATCTTGTCTAGGATATTGGTGATAATTTATAGATAATCAATTAATTGTTTACTAAAGTTAGAGTGTCACACTGAGAATTCTGCTGGATGTAGAATTGTTTTGATTTTAAAAAAAATCTGTAATCAAGGTTTATGCAGTTAATTATAAAGCATGTACCATGTGATGTATGTGGAATTGTTTTAAGTCATGTATATGATTCCTAGGGATAAAGCTGGGAAATAGGTGGAATGAAGTTCTGCAGCTGACAAAGAAGCACACCAAAGATCACGTTCTACTTTTCAGTGATGTCCACATTTTGATGTCTACGCTAGGAGCTAAAGACCACAAATCCACCAGTGAGCTCTTAACAACTCTCCAGGAACTTGCCAAGTAAGCAACTGATTTAAAATGTTGTTCTGAATATAACTGTTCTCCCATCACAAGTTGAGGTGAATCTTCAGGAATTTGCCAAGTAAAAAGTTGTTGTTTTGAAGGTAATTTTCCCCAATGTCATAACCAGACTGATTTAGCAGGTTGATGTTTCTGATGCTATCCAGTTAGGAAGGCCATCCTGTTTTTATTTTGCTTTTGGTTGTTTTTTTTAAATGATGACTGTGTTCATGTCTGGGGTAAGTCTTTAATACTGGCAGGTAGCAATGTAATCATATAATTCAGGTGTTCATGGCAAGTAACTGAACCATTAGTTTGTTGGTTAGTTAGGTTCCTTACCATGGGTCTATATTTGGGATATGACTGTTCGTAACTGAACGCAGATATGTCCTATACAGTAGGGGTGTGCGATGCTTCAGTTACCAATTCAATTTGGGGAAGATTTGGTGGCCGAATCATTGAATCCGAATTGAATCAGGAGACCCAGAAAAAACTCTGAATCGATTTTGAAGCATGCGAATCAATTTGGAAAAGATTCGGGAAAAGATTTGGCAATTCAGAAAAGGCGGACTTGTGGGGAAACAAACTGAGTAGAGATTGGCGGGGAGAAGGGAGGGGGAAGACTGCTCTAATATTGACATCTGTAGCTGGCCAATGACTGATCTTTCTCTGAGTTCCCTTCCAATCACAGAGCTCAAGGGGAGGGATGTAGAAACAGCATATAAGGCTCTGTGTGAAGCCTTTCCATCCCTTTTGTGAGCTGTTTGTCTGGAAGCAACAGCATGTGAAAGGTAGTGGCTGCAGCGGCTGGCTTCCTAGTCAGCCTCTTCACTCCTTTGCTAGTGTCTCTATCTCGTAAGCAGATAGAAGAAGATATAGTAAGCAGATAGAAGCAGATGTATTACACGCACACACACACACACACACACACACACACACACACACACACACACACACACACACACACACACACACACACTAAATGCATACAAGATGGATTACACACCAGCAAACATTTTTCCAGCACATCAAACATTATGAAGCATGCTGGAAAGGCAGGTGCTAGGCCTTCTGGCAGGGAAGCAAGAGGGGCTAGTGGGGGAGAGCTGCAAGTTCCCCCCTGCCCAAACTTAGACGCACCCTCTTTCCCAGCAGCCATGAATGAGGCTTCTGCTGCTAGTGGGAACAAGGAGGTGGGAGCAGTACCTGTTCCTGCACCTGCACCACCTCCACTAACACCAGAAATAGCCACCAGCACCAGCATGACAGTCTCCTCCACCCCAACTTCAGCTCCCTCCCAGCATGAGCCTCCCAGTGCCAGAGGAGGAGCTGGATCTGGAACCAGGGGAGCTCAATGCCATAGCCAGGGAAATTCTGGGGAAGGAGAGGGGATCTGAGTTTGTGCTCCACAACCCTCAAAGTTCCTCTACAGGGAGTTCTCTTCTGGAAGGCACTTTGGGGGAAGTTGTGGGGGCAGATGGCTTAGTTTCCCCTGTTGTTGTGCCTCTGCCTGCTGAGGAGGGGATTAAGGCAAGATCCCCACCCTCAACCCAGAAGTGAGGGGGGTGGGAGTGCAGTGTGGGATCATTTTGCGTTGACAGATGATCCCAGGTATGCTACCTCCCAGCACTGCCAAAGGCAGATCAGCCAGGGCAAGGAGGTGAAACACTTCACCACCGCAGCGATGCTGCTATATTGCAGGAAGCAGCACCTCTTTCCCCACCCTCTTGCCACTGCTCCTCCTCAGCCTGGCACCAGTGGGAGCGTGCCCAAAGGGAAATCCCCCTCTCACTCCAAAGCCTGTGTCCCCACAAAGCTCAGGCAGGTCACCCTGGAGCGGTGGGGGAAAGCCGCAGACAAAGTGGGGGTGTGTTGCAAGGGCAAACAAGGTCACCCAGAGCATTGGGGAGATGCTTGCTCTGGATAGCCAACCCTTCTGTTTAGTTGAGTGGCCAGGGTTCAGGCGGCTCATGGCACTCATGGCCCCATCGTATGGAGTGCCCGCACGTACCACCTTTATCAGGATGGTGGTGCCCTCCCTGTATGAGGCAAGAACTCCTCCAGGGAGTATTCGAGGGAGGAGCTGTGCAAGGCGGGTCTGCAGGTAACCTTGCACTTCACCTCCGACATCTGGAGCATCCAGGGTGGAGATCATGCCTACCTCTCCCTCACAAGTTACTGATGCACCAGTGGGCTCTCCACTGAGTCAGTGGGCTCTCCTTCAAGCAGAGGTGAGTCCCACATGGCAAGGGAGATCATGATGGCCATGAACTATATGGTGCAGGGGTTGCTCGTTGGGCAGGGCGAAAATAATTGCGGGTTCATAGTCACCGACACTGGGGCCAATATGGTCAAGGCAGTCCATGATACCAACTTTGCTGGCATCCGTTGTGTGGCACGCAAGTTCCACCTCTTAGTCAGGGATGCCTTGGAGGGGGACAGAGCTGCTGGTGACACCGCCGTCAAGACCAGCCAGCTCATTTCAAGATGCAGGAAGGTGTCAGGATACTTCCACCAGAGCATCAAGGGGGGCAAGATGCTGTGGGACAAAAAGGCAGAGCTGAGCATCCCTCAGCACAAAATCATGCAGGATGTGGAGACTTGGTGGAACTCCACATACCTGATGCTGGAAAGGCTCATCAAGCAACAGAAGGCATCCATGAGATGGCCTTGGTTGGGGAGATTGGGATCAGCGGCCCCCTTAACAAAACTGAGCAGGATACCATCTGCCAGATCTTGGTGGTCCTCAAGCCATTCATCAAGGCCACCAAGATCCTCAGCGCTGGCAATGCCCTCCTTAGCCAGGTGATCCCTGTAGTGAGGGAACTTGAGAATCAAATGGAGACGTTCCAGGGGATCAGTGTTCCTGGCTGGGGCAAGCCACTTTCACCAGAGGTGCAGGCACCGGTGGAGCGGCTGAAGGAGGGCATCAAAAAATGGCTGGATCTGTTGCAGTCCAGTATGGTCCACATGCTGGAGCCATGTGCGACCCAAGGGTGAAGGGGAGAGTGTGTGCCAGCAAAACCCTCAATCACTGGACAGAGGTGCTAGTGAACAGAGTCAGGGAGGCAGAAGGGGGGGATGTGGAAGAGGGGGACCCATTTTCCTGTGCCAGCACTCCAACTATAAGCCAATCTCCTCCACGGCAGCCACTGCCAATGTGGGCCAAGGTCATGGCTTCGATGGTGGGGTCCAGAGGTACCAGATCCCAATTTGGGCAGGTAGCGCAGAGGCTTTGGTGGCTACCTATCTCACCGAGGACGTGGAGCCACTGGACTGTGACCCCTTGGCCTGTTGAGCAACCCGCAGCCAGATGTGGCAGGATCTAGCCACAGTTGCCCAGCATCACCTATCCTGTCCACCAACCAGTGTTCAAAGCAAGGCATTGTTGGGGATGTTGTGACACCCCACCGTATCTCCTTGGATCCTAATTTGGTGGAGCAGCTGGTGTTCCTCAAGGTGGACCTCTTGCTGCTGGAGTTCCCCAAGCTCCATGTGCAGATGGAGTGAGTGCCACCCTCCTCACTCCGTCCACACCTATTTCCTTTAAAAAAAAGTTTTAAACCATTTAATGCCCTGCTCTCAGAGCTGGAGGCAGCACTTACTGTATCACCAGCCAACAGGGGAAGAACATCTCCCTACTGAGCTCCCATGCCAGAACAAACTTGGAGGTATGAGCTGGGGCTATAGGGAAGGAGGAGGCCCCAGGTCCTGTGCATGACCTAAAACTGCACCCAGCCAGGGTGAGGAGGCCTGGTGGGACTGCTGGTGGCACAGTAGCCGCCACGAAATGCCAGGGCTGCAAACCTCGCTGATGAAAGGGGGGTAGGAGGCGCCTTATAACCTCCAGCCACCACATGCATGCACAGTCCTAGCAAGGGAAAGCCCAGACTTGTAAGATCTTTGAGAGGCCTGAGGCTTACTGGTCGCAGTGAAGTTGTGAGGCTCCAGGTGAGCTTAGCTGCCTGGGATGTCATCTATGAGGCATGGGCTGCAGTGTAGGGAGGTATGGAGTTGCAGAATGGATGCATGTCACCCCTAGACATCAGGGGCCTAAGTAGGCAGCCTCTTGCCTGGAGAACATTTGAATTAGTTTTTGTTCAAGGCATAGCAGGTGAAAGAGGGGCGGGCAGGTGGTTGGTCCAGAAACAGGTGGGTGGGCTGAGATCTCACCTGCACTGGGAAGACCCCCTGCTCTTTCTGAATGGAATGAATAGTGAAGAATTTAGAGGCTGGGATGCAATGCATGCAAGAAAGCCAGTCAGTGAAAATGTAAATCGAGGTGTCAGGGGGTGAGGGACACATTGGGAGCAGAGAGATGGAGAAGGGGGATGTAGCAGGTAAAAGTGGAGAGGTAACTAGGGAGTCAGATGTCAGGCAGGTTATAGTGTATCATAAATCCAATGTCTATATTAAGTCCATGAGTTTCTGTATCTAGGAGGTTGATGAAGTGAAGTTCATAGGCTTGTCTGTGAAAAGGCTACCATCCCTGCTGGTTTCATCCCGCTGCACCTTAACACACACACACAGTCACACAACACGAGTTTTCTTTCAGCAGTTTGAGGTGCAGTTTCCCAAAAAACCCTGCACCTATCTCTTTGAAACTTGGCAGGCTTCATGTCCTCAGAAGGGGCTACCAATCCTGCTGTTTTCACGTAAATCTGCCAAAAATGGCAAAGTTATAGGTATTTAAATGATTGCTCATTATAGTCTATGGCTGAATCACTGAATCTCTCCAAATTGGCACCAAATCTTTCTATGCCAATTTGGCCGAATGGATTTGGGACAGTGACCCAAATCTTCAAACGGAATCACTGTCCTCCGAATCAGCTGAATCCAAATCGAATACTGCCCTATTCTCACAGGCCTACTGTACAACAGTAAGGAAAGTTTACACAATGTAGCCTATTACTTATGAAAGTCCTTTCTGCTCTGAAGGTCTGTTTCTTAAAGACCATTCCTTGAGCAGAGTATCTTATTAGTTATTACATGAATTATTT